GAATCTGCTCCTCTAAGGTGGAAGAAAAGCTGCTCACAATGCTAACAATGATCAGCTAGCTGCCTTGAACTCAGTGGGATCAGAGTTTGAACACTATTTTAATAGAGATAAAAAAGATGGTCTCTGGTTTTGTTGCCGTCCTGATTCAGCCAATGAGTCAGTCATCCCTAGGTTGCAACAGGGGCCTTCATCCTTCACCTGCCCAGGATCTTCTGTGTAAGCAGCTGCGTTTGTAAAACTACTCTGAATCTAAATGACCTTACAGATAGCTGGAAATGCGCACGTCTAACTGTGGCCGGTGTGATGTTAAAACCAAGCTGGTCAGAAGCACTGCAGACAACCCAAGGCATCTCGATCTGACTCCAGTGCAAGAGAGCTTGTAGGAGCACTGATGGGGACGGTGCCGCCGCTGACCCTGGCACCATGTGCTAACCTCTACCTCACTGTCTGCTCAGTCTGGGCTTCCACTTCCTCTGGGAGAATGGTCATCGGCCGGGGCCAGAAGCCAAGAGGATTTGGATATCCAGCACTATCTAGCTCTTTTGCAACTCTAAGATTCTGTTTCTCACTATTGCAAGGATTGTTTGCTAAATGAAATAATCCCTCTAACTGAAAAGAAAATCATTATGTAAAAAACAGAAATAAGGTAAGCATCCTTTACATGCCTTGTTACCATGCAGCAATTAACTGGACCACTAAGGGTTAATTCTGATCCTGAGTGGGCCCAATCAGGTTTGTTTCTGCCATCTTATTAGGTTAAATAAATAGAAACTTCTTGCAATATCCATCCACAATGATAAGCAATTCCCACTATAATGGATGGCTAATATATAAATTCAGCCCACATCAGTTTTGTGTCAACTAGCAAAAACAGAAACAATGGAAACTAGACAGCCATGCCTCCGCATAGGTCAACAACCAAGGTTATCTGTATTCAATTACTGGTATCTGCAAACTTGCATACTGTCAGCTGATCGTAGACTAAATGAAAACTTATCATGCACAGAGGCAGCAAATACATTTATTTGAAGCAGGCATCATATTAGTTCACTGGTTTGACTGTGGTTAAGGGAAAAAAGGGGGTTATCAGTCTTTTGGGAAATTCTTTCAAATATAACCTGCAGCAAATATCTAAAATTGGGGATTATCTATGTTATAAATCTTTGTTCAAAAAGTAGAAAAGGAACAGAAATTACTCCGTAGCCCTCTAAGACGATAAATTATATTATTTAACAATAGATAAACTTAGGGCACCTTTCCTGTGGAGCAGCCCTATTGTGAATTCGGCTTTAATCTGCTTCACCTTAACATCTGTTCAGTGGAACCAAAGATTTGGCTGTTTCGGACGCAGACAATAATTTGTTTGTTAACCGCTTCGCTGGAACAATACATCATTGCAGAAAACAAAGCCTACCAACACAACGCGTTTTTATCTGTTTCCTCTATCTGTGTTCCTTTTTCCACAAGTGCAAGTTCAGGTTTTTGAACTGTTTTCCTAGTGATAATTTGTGATGCTGTGAGTTTCATAACCCTGGAAAAACATTTTTTTTTTTCAACCTCCTTTTTCATCTTTGACCAACAGATGTTCTGTTCAAAACGTGTAAGTACTCATGAGGTACGTACCAGCAAATTATAATTGCTAACGCCCCTGTGGAAGGAAAATGTCAATAAATATTTGTTATCACTGGCCTGTTTGGAAACAAAGGCATTTGCTTAACAGAAGTTCACGTGCCAAACCTTTTTATGCATCTTTTCCAGCAGTCCATTCAATTAGACATCTAACATTTTGTTTCTTTTCAGAAGAGGAAGTGAAAATAACCTCACAGAATCAAAAATAAAGCATAAAAGCATGAGGGCATCCTGTATTCCATAATCCATAAAGTGCAAAATAGCACTTTAGCTCCTTTCAGGGATCTGAATGCGGCCACAGAGCTGAGCTGTGATCCAGCTCCAGCACTTCACCACTGCACACCAAAGCAGCAATCAAGGGTAGAAATCTAAATGCATGGCACCGTAATGCAGAGAAATGCCCCATTAACATGTGACTGCTGACAACTGCAATCCATACCTATGGATAATCTCCCCTGGCCAAATGACTAAAATCTTAGTCATTGCAGACTTAACTGCAACTCCTCTAGCGAGACATACAGAGTATGCTTAGTTCTGACTTCTCCCCATGTCAGTGTAGTCTGGACTCATCCTGCTACTGGAGGAGGAGGTAAAACTTACTTTCTAGATGACTGAAAAAAGCAAATGCTATCATTTTCATACCTGGGTGCTAAGCTGCTAGAGGCATTCAGAACTGTCATGCAGAAATAACAGAAAAACTTACTTATGCCACCAGTGCAGCAAAGTAGTTAACACATCCTTGCACTGTGCCATCCACTTCAATCTGCTTCTTCTCGAGCTCTTATATCTCCCTCATTTTATCTCCGGATGTTTCTGAAGCTGTAGTTCTATTCTAAAGACTAGGACTAACATCTAACACATGCTGTGATGATTTGACAGATCAGCCTCTGCACCACTAAAATGAATGCTGTCTTACAGCGTGGACAGCTTGTGTTTGTTTCAGCCAGCGCACCCCACGTGGGCTGGAGCTTCCTTGCCTTCTCCATGGCTTTTTGTCCTCTTGTTGATGCAAAGAGCAAAGGAATTGCAGGGTGCATCCATTCACCTGGCTACAGTGGAGCATCCTTAAAATGCAAGAAACTAGCCATTCTAATGAGACAGAAATGGCTGCCACCCAAGGCAGGGTAATTTTTCCAAGTCTGAACTCTATGCAGGAAGCAACTTCTCAGTAGCTGCTTGTTTTATGGATTCATTTGAGGAGCTGATAAAGTTGATAAGAGGGCTCCTGAGGTGTTTCACAAATCAGGAGGACAGGGATCTGCATTTCTGAGAAGTCATGTGCAGGAGTTTGGGTCTAGAAGAACTGTGACCTACTTAGAAGACTCTGACTTAAGCCCCAAATAATTCTCTTGCTCAAGCATGAATTACAAGCAGCTGAAGAAAGATGAGCTTTCGCACTTGCGCTGCAGCCAACTTTGCCCACATCTAATGAGGAAAAGTAGGACTCGGTGCCATTTTGTATTCCCGTGATGCGGTGCAGATGGAGGCTCGGCACACGCTCCTCTGTCTCCCCTTGCAAAGCACAGAGCTGGAAAGCATCAGGTTGGAGAGCAGAGGAAGTGGTGGCTGTGAGAAGCTGCCTCACCCATGGGAGCGGAGTCGGCAGCAGCTCTGGTGACTGGAGATGGCTGAACTGGAGGAAAATATTAAACGGCCCATGGCCAAAAGCTTGGGGAGTAGAGCAGCAGCCATGCATGGAGGGAGGGGAAAGGCTGAGCCATTACAACTCAGCTTAACCAGCCTCTGCAGAGGCAGAGAGGGTGGCACACAGGGGCTGGCCTCAGCCCTGAGCTGGATGCAGGCCGCGTTTGTGTGCCAGGCCCAGGCCCTGCCTGCAGCCACGTGGACCCACGTCCCATGGATGGAGCGCTGCAGTGAGCCAGCCTTCTGATGCCAGATGGGAACACAGCTGGGCTGGGCACCACTGTGGGATTATGAACTAAAAAATAATGGAAAAAGGCCCGTGGGGAAAGGGAATGCAACTGATGGGAGAAACGTCAGAAGAGATGGGGAGGATGCATTCTCTGTTCATGCTTTAACCGCTGGGCTGTGGATGTGAGTGAGGCTCCTGAGTTCTGTCATGGAGGCCACGCTGGGCTGCCCGGGTGCGCAGGCTGACAGTGCACAACACTACCTGCTCACTGGGTCAGGGCTGCCCTGTGCTGCAGGCAGGGTTTTGTTCAGCAAGAGAAAGGTTTTCAACATAAAAGGCCTTATATTCAAAAGACACCATTTTAACTTGGCCGCAGCAGCATTGGGAATACATACTGGGGAACAGGAAAAGTCCACGGGGCGGCTTTTGTCAGAAAACAGTTTCTGGAAAAAATTAAAGTTCTCTTGAGGCATGTAGAAAAATTCCAGGACACTGTATTATTATTGTTGTTATTATTACCCTTGATCTTTTGGAAGGTGGAGAGGGAGCGCATGCCGTTTTAAAGAAAGAAGACAGGACATCTGCAGCCTTTAAAAAGCAAAGCACAAAGGCTGCTGGGCTCTCCTTACAGCATTTTTAATTATCTTCCTTAAGTTTCCCAAATAAAAACACATCACATTGAGCCTCACCCAATAAAGCTATGTGGGTAAATACAATACCCATTGTCTAATCAATATCATATTGCTCATGGCTTTAGCTCGTTCAATATCTGAGATCATTGCCTCCCTACTCACACCTACGGATGCCAATATCTGCTTAATGTTGGACAAACTGCAGTTGTCATTCCCTGTAACGGAGTTCTTTAATCTCATTAATAACCTACAGATACCAAAGTGCAGCTTCAAGTAAAGCTGGCTGGAGCATGCCAGGTTTCCAGAGTTTCATCTCTGGGGTGGGGTGGGTTAAAGAGCCCTGGTCCTGGTGGGGCTGCAGCCCCTGCCCCACTGCTGCTGTGCTAGGGCACCCATGAACAATTTTTTTTTTTTTTTAAGTCGAACGCAGAGAGTGAAGAGGTATGGAGAGAGTGATGGGTATGAGTATCTATCACAGCCAGATGCCGTGACTAGGACACAGCGTATGATGGAAGCACGTCCTCCAAAATACTCCTTCTGGGAAGCACTCTGCACGCAGGCCCACCCATCATCCCCACTGTAACACGGGCAAGCAGGGCGAGAAGGCAAGCAAAGGGCAGCAGCGAGAAAGCGCCTGGCCCGAGGCCTGTCCCAGCAGCGCATCCCTGAGCCCCGCAGCCCCGCGCAGCTGTCTGGGCGCGCTGCCGCCACGTCCAAGCTCAGCACGGCTCTGGGGAGCCCAAAATGTATCGTGAAATAAAAACAGCTGCGAGGGAAACTCATATGACTAGGATAGGTGCCATCTAGCAATTAACAGCCAGAAGTTTTGATCTGGAAAATCACATTTATTTTAATTGCTTCGCTGTTGTGTTCATAAAGAATTTGGCTCATTTTAGTATTTTCCTTATTAGATATACGATTTAACTTTGGAACAATGTAGTCATTAGTTCCATTGTTCCAGATTTTTCATCACGGGGAAATGAATGATGGAGACGTGTTCTGCAAGGAAGATTGTTTATAAATATTTATCCTCGTCTTAACAGATATTTCTGTAATCCAGCTGAATTTTCTAGCACAGAATTCAACAGTTGTTAATCTGGCGCATGGCGAGCGGCACATTTCCTAACCTCTGAGTTCAGTGAGCGATCTTATCAAAAGAACCAAGCAAAAGAAGGCTTTTGTTTTATGATTATTTCCTTCGCAAGACCCAATTCTTTCCATTCCCTTCAGTGGGAAGACGCCACCACCACTGCCGTCCACTGACCCCACGGTAGGCACTGCCCTCTGTGCCATGGGCAGGATCAGGCCCTTCACATGGGGCTGGGAGGGGAGCCGTAAAAAAATGCATGGGCCTTTCTGCTGGGAACGAGGCTGCTCAGCTGAAAGGAAATGGGAGGTGAAAAATGGAATTTGGCAGTTGTGCGCCGCTCCACCATTTGGTGCTTGTTGTGGGACTCCAGCAAAAGTGAGCTATCACTACGGGCATAATTTACTTGATTTTAAGGATCTGTATGAATTCTGGCACCAGACCAAGTAGCCATTAGCTATGAGGAGTGCTTCCCAATGCTCATTTGTTTTCCATGTGTGAATTTTCGCTCATCTCATTCTTTAGAAAAAAATTTTTCTTCATCAATTCCATGTGGAAAATACAATAAAAATCCAGATAATGAATTAATTCAAGAAACACAACAGTTTTTGTTTTTTTAAAATGGAAAACTACTAGTTCTGGAATCAGACTGTCAGCCTGCTTTGATTTCTGATATCTTAAAGCTAAGTGTTATAAAATGATACGGTTGTTCACATGCTCCAGGTTAGGCTTTTGGGCAAATTACCCTAAATAAGGTAACTCAATAGCTAGGTAGGCAGGCTTTAATGCTATTACTATTAGGAAAATATCATTAATATGAGACATATGCGGGCCACTATTGCATCAGCAGGGCCTCGCTCAGGCAATGTGGGAGCAGTGCTGTGGATTGCAGCAGCAGTGCTGGGCCTTCAAACACGTAACGTGCCTTAGTCTTGAGGTCAAAATCTGTTAATGCAATTTTGAGTATAAGAACAAGAATTTAAAATCCATGTGGTTTTAATGCCACATTCTGAGATGGGGGGGCAGGGTTTGTTGTGTTTCTTTATTTGGCCTGCTTGCACTGAACGTGAACTCCTTCAAAATCTGTGTGTGTCACATTAAGACTCATTTGTGAGATGTGATGAACGAAACAAAATCTCGTTCCATTTCTTTGTTCAAAAAGTTTGATTTTGGTTGTGTTTCAAATTATAAGGATCATCATTGGTAATTTGCATTTACTTCTCATCGAAGCATTACACAATAAACCGAAACTGTGTGTCAGATGTACTGCTCCCACATAAGTGCGCTGAGATAAAGTGAGACCTCTAAGAGGATGCCTGCCTTTACAACGAGCGTTCCCGTTTCAAACAATTAATATGTTTGGATTTCTTCATTTTTGCGGTCTCTTAGCACAACTTACAGCTAAAGCACTGTGTTGAACACGCATATTTTGGAGCGAGCTCTTCTCTGTGTCTATTTAACAGCTACTCACAGCTGTCTCTGCTTTAAACATATTGGGATAACATTTCATTACAAAGCCTTGATGCAAAGAGAAAGGGAAAATGGATGCAGGAGGGAGGGCAGAGGGTGAGTGTGCATGGCCAGCACCTCATGCAGCAGGCATGCTGGCAGCGGGGGGGGTGAGTGGGGAGAGGGCAGGGGCGTCCTCAACCTGGGCTCTGCGGGCACGGTGGGCCGTGCATCCTGAGCTGCTGCAGGTTTGGCTGTGGAAAGCACACCTGCTGCCCTCAGATCTTAGCATGGAGGAGGGAAAGCTCCCATTCATTTCTCTGAGCGCTAAGACACAGAGAAGTGGCTCAGCGGTACAGTAAGCACAGAGCAAGCAGCAGTGACAGTGACAGGAAGGTACTGTCCCGCTGGGTACTGGCCACCACCTGACTGCCATGCAGAAACAGCTCTGCTGGTGCCTGCAGGAGACTGGTTTTAATGTGGCATATCTGCTTAACAGCTTTGCTGATCATGCTGCTGCTACATGTGCGCATTTTAAATGTACTCTTAAATTTACTTTGAGGACTTCCTTTGACCTCCCATAGCAGATGTGGGAACCCGCCAGCCTTGAGCTGCACACAGAGTACAGTGCAGCTCCTGCTGCCTGTGTCCCCCAGCTCCCATACGCGGCTTTGTTCTGCAGGCAGGGCTCCCACCATCCACCCTGCACATTGCTGTGTAAACCAGTGTCACCTGCTGTGCCCCTACAAGTCCATGAGCCGTGGCAGTGCCACAGCCCTGGGCAAGGCCCTCACTCCAGCAACACTCTGTGATCTAACATACAGATGTACTGAAATGTCTTTATGTAGAGACACGTGATGCACACACACACATACCTTTGTCTCCTTATCCATCTCTCTGTATAAAGATATACACAAAGAGCACAGTAACACTGTGTGATGGAGCAGATCACCTGCAACAAACGCTATTCAACACAGTCACCACCATTAGCTCTGCATTTTCACCAGCAATGAACAAGAGCCCACATGCCACACTTGTACTAATCTGCACCAGCAGAGGTGACCACTGTCCCTGCCCACCACTTCACTGCACTCACATCCACTGGCCGGTCTCCATAAATATCCAGCAAGAGTCAATGAATGTCAGTGATGCCTTTTTTTTTTTAACTTACCTGTTCCTGGGGATTCTCCCTTGAGCTCTGCACCTGATGGAGGTGTTACTGTGGTCAGGCTCTGCTTTCACTGCACCCATGGTCAGCCTTGCTGAGTGCACCTTCCATGCTTCTACTGCGAACATCTCTCACTTCAATCTCCGTGGCTGCAGAATCCTTTTTCTAAAATTTAAATTATAACCCCAGCAATTATGATATGAACTGAAACTCTTATACTGACTTACAGCCTGAGTGTGTCATGATGCCACCAGCAAGGCAGCCACACACAGGCCTTGCAGCAAGCAGCCCCACGTGCCAATGAGGACTGGCATGGCACTGGCTCTGCTACCTATAGGCACAACTTTACATAAAGAAAGTAGAACATTTTTAAGAAACAACATCTCCTTTTCACTTTCTCAGTGAACTCATGTCTGTTTTATGGTGCAGCAGGCCTGGATTTGCAAGGCTTCAGTCTTCTGGTTTGCAGTACCAGAAACATACTACTATCTGTGTGAATAAAGCATTTTCTCCAAGAACACGCCTAATAGTTTGAGTCAGCCTACCAGATGGGTTGTAAAACACTTTGAAACAACTCCACTCGAAGGATATTATACTCCTGGAGCTGTATGTTTGGTTTATTATAAACAGAGCTTTCTAAGTAAAAAACATAGAAATGCTGTCTACTTCTGAAGCAATCTGACATGTGGAGCTGCTCTAGATCTCTGCAGAAACAGAACTGAATTTATCACTCTCCCTAAATATCAAAGGGTCCCGAGAAGCAGCCGTATCACTTTGGGTCTTTGTAACTGGAAGGCAGTGCGGGTGACTGACAAGCCCACATACTTTTAATTTATCAGCACTCGGCAGCCTCCCTGCCGTGAGCCAGCTCCAGATCTTCCTGAGTGAGCTCCTGCTCCTCAGCAGCACTGCAGGACAGCATCCCGGTCCATAGGGTTGCAGTTTGCCCTTTTTGTCCCCAGACGTGGCCCCAGGATGGTCCATGTCCACCATGTCCGTCCCCACTGCCAGAGGTGATGCCCACACAACAGCCCTGACTGCTCCCCTCCCTCCCAGCTCACATCCTGGGGATGCTCACTCCTCACTCACAGCCCAACGCAGGACACCCAGTGACCAGACCAGCCAGGTGGCACACAGTGTGGCAGAGGCAGTGAAGCCAGGGATGTGCTCCTGATGGCACCCACTGACAGAGGCCAGACCTGAAGCACTGGACCTGGCTGCGGGGCACCCACGTCCTCACCAGCACCATGGCCACCCCATTTCAGATCCTGCCTCATCAGTCACACCTCACTGTGTGACCTTTCCATTGTAAAATGGTCCTCTGGGACTGGCTTTGTAGACAAGGCCATTGTGTCTCCCTAGTAGCTGGGAGAAGATCAAGTCAGTGAGTTTCTGTACCATGGAAGAACCAGCAGTGGCTTAGGGGCTCATTTCTATCTTCCAGTCAGTGGTAACATCTTCCACCATTTCACATTTAGGTTGGCTTCCATATTGGCAAGGCTCAGGAGACCTGGGAAGGGCAGTGAAGCACTGTGGCCAACACTTACCATTTCCAGTCACTGTTTCACTCTTTTTTCGGAGCCTGAGACACTGTGATTGTCCCTGTAAAACACAATTAGTGCCTGCATTATGATTTGTTAACATCACCCAGAAGAGAAAAGCTAAGCGGATTTTTAATCTGAATTTGTACAGGCTTTTCTGTCGTTCTTTAAGCAGCTCCGTTATTATTTTTCCCATAATTTGTATAAAGTACTTAGCATTCAAAACAGAGCCTTTTTAACCTTTTGCCCAACTTAGCTTTATGTACTTTAAAAAAAAAGAAGGGGGGCGAGGGGGACTGGAGATGGAGAGGGAGAGAAACCCTTTAAGTGCCCTGGGCCTGGGTTCCTTCAGTGTGCAGGCTGTAAATGTTTTACTTTGATTTGAGATACATGACAATAAATTAGGGGACATTTATCAAAGCTGCTTTGTTGCATTGCTGACAAAAGCTGCTTTTTGCATAAATTACTGCATTATACAAATACACTTAGCAGGATCCTGCTTCTTTGATGTTAGTGGAGGAGATTTATGTCCAATGGAGTTTTTATTTATCTGCCCTGTTCACCTCAACAAGGGCAGGACATATTCCTCAATTAGTTCCATACCCCTAGAAATGACATATATATCTCACAACTAGAAACAGAGAAATTTAAACAAAACAACACAAAAAAAGCAAGTGCACTTTTTCTGGCAAGTCTAAACTACCGTACGGCGTAAAAAGTAAATATTAGGCTGGCGCTCTGCCTTTGAAATCTTTGTTCTGAGATGACTTTGAAAACTATTTAAGTAAGCTAATTTTTACAAAACAATATTCCCTTTGCAGAAAAGCTTTTCTAGACTTCATTAAGGGACTAAGTAAATACGAGTCCACTTCAACAAATACTCGGTATCCAAATAAGTAGGTTAAAAGAACAGATTCCCTGTGTGTAATCCTCTGTGGAACCGTATTTATGCTAAAATCTCTTTCGATGAATATCTAATAAACCAACGACGGGCACTGTAGGCAAAACGGTGAATTAAGATGGTTAAAAAGGAACTCGTCCAATGAATAAATTGGCTGAACAGTCACTTTTCTTAAATGAACACAGAATCTCTTGAACACAATTTGGAGCGCCATTCTTCTGCCACTCACCATCTCCAGCCCTCAGCTCACAGGTAATTTATTTTGTCACTGGGTCACCGGTTCATGCAGCCCTACGTGGCAACATGGAGTTGTTACCATACAATAGCCTGAAATAATTCCGCACAACTGCTTTCTGTCCCAGATTTAAAAGCAAAAAGGAGACAAAGCAACCTGCAAAGGCAGGGGCTCAGCAGAGGGAGCTGAGTGGTGGGGACCACAGTGGCTTCACAGTGCTGTTCTTGGGGTTCTCTAGCAGTACCCAAGTCAATGGGCCATCCGTTGTCCTCAGTGGGAGCAAAACCCAAATTTCCCACTGCCCTCCCATCACACACACAGTACTGCACATCACTCATTGGTTTGTTTCTTACTCACCTCTGAGCAAGAGCACGCAGAGGAGAGCGCCTGAGGAGGACACGGCCAGCCAGGCACAGCCCATGCTGCCAGGCTGCTGTGCGCCCTGAAGCCCAGCCCAGAGAGAGAAGGAAGGCAAGCTCCTCTGAACATTCAATGAACACAGGAAAACAATAAAATTACACCAAAACAGACTTTCATTATTCAGGCAGCTCTGGGGACGAGATTCCACCCAGCGCATTTCAATGATCCCAGACAATGGATTACTATCATAATTTGTTCTTAAAGTCTGTTTAATTGGCTTACTTAGCCACCTGTTCAGAAGAGTTACCAGAAAATAGCAGTTTTGCTCCATTTCTGAGCTCCAACCATTCATCATTCCACCTCCTTCTCTTCCAGCTGCTATAAAATATCAAGCAATGTCTAGCACAGATTTAAAAATAATCTCCTCGTTATCCAAAATGCAACGTAACCAACCAGGAGGGAGCTGCAAAGCTGCAACAACAACGTGCTGATAGGGGCATGTACTCATTGGCTGTTCCTACTGGAACACTAGGAACACAGTATTACACACATGCATGTACAGTCATGGTGTAAAAACATAAAGACTGATATGCATATTCAAGGTATGTAAATATAGAATCATAGAATGGCCTGGGTTGCAAAGGACCACAATGCTCATCCAGTTCCAACCCCCTGCTGTGTGCAGGGTTGCCAACCGGCAGCCCAGGCTGCCCAGAGCCACATCCAGCCTGGCCTTGAATGCCTGCAGGGATGGGGCATCCACAGCCTCCTTGGGCAACCTGTTCCAGTGCCTCACCACCCTCTGTGTGAAAAACTTCCTCTTAAAATCCAACCTAAACCTCCCCTGTCTCAGTTTAAAACCATTCCCCCTTGTCCTCTCACTATCCACCCTCATAAAT